CTGACTGTTTTCCAGCAGACTTGCACAAGTTAAAAGACAAAGCATTGTGATCTATCAGACATTTGTGTACTTTTTAACATACTTACAAATATACCTAATTTCGAATTCTGACATTCATATCCCTAGGCTTTGTATTTGAGAGAAGTGTCAAGAGGAATTTTTGACACTCCTAGAATGTGGCAACATTTTAAAAGGTATGTGTTTTCTATTTTTCAATTAAAATTGATATCAGACATGTAAGCCACCTGTCAGTAAAGAACTGAGACCTGAAAAATCGGGTGTTTGTTGTTTTTCTTTTTATTTTGCTTCTACTTCATTTCATGTGGCTACACTTCTTCTGGGATGATGGGCAGCTTGAACCAAAGAGGGGACACCAACATCAAATACATAGTAAAAGGCGTTACCATTTCAGATTGAGGGAGCTCAGATTAAAATCAAAACAGTCAAATTTGCACTGTACAGTGACTTAGAACTGCACCTCACATCAAAAATACTGAATATTCAATATTCTCCACAGTATCGGAAAGTTCCTGATGCTCCTTGGGATCACGCAGGGCCTATGGCAACATCCCAAGTTTTTAAACCACCTACTAAGAAAATAATTTATTTAGAAAAGAAACAAGTTACCTTATTCTTTCTTCAGTTAGCTACTTCGTTCCTATTCTGGCATATTACAAATAAGAAAGCACCCCTGGGTCCGATCCTGTGTTTCTGGCACACTCAGGACAGCCACCGAAGCCCATAAAAGAAGGGGCTACCTAGAGAATGCAGTATCGGGCCAGTAATCACTTCCTCATTAGTCAGTGAAATCTTACCAAAAGGTTTAATTATATAACTGGGAGAGATATATAGCATCCTACTTACATTATTTTCTCATCTGCAAGACATTAGGGATTTGCATAGATCGTTTTTCAATAAGGAATATTAAAGAAATGTAAAATGTCTTGATGTCCAAAAGTACAAAAAAGGAAAGAAAAAAAAAAAAAGCTAACTAATATCTCCTCATTTGAGAGCTGAAAGGTTTAATATTCAAACTAATATTTCTCTTCTACAGCTAAGGCATCAGATTTCTAATCTGTCAACAGTCCTTTTATAAAAAAGAGATGTATGTATTTTTCTACCCATTTTTAATTATATTTTATGAATGATGATCTATATATTATTACCTCTCAGCTGCAAGTTGACTTTAGCTTATAAACAAATATCAAGAAGGCTGCGGCCCTGATCCTGCCCCCACAAAAGCCAGTGGAAGGGATCGATAAATTTACATGGGAGAAGTACTAAGCTTCAAAGTACGTTTATGCTAAAGGAAGATCTGTGTGGCGTCAGGTGAAGCCAGATATGTAAGGAACGTAAATAAAGTGGAGAATGCCGTCATATGCTTGAAGAAGTTTAAAAATCTCTAGATTTTACAGGCATTACAGTTTTCAGGTTAGTATAGTCAGAAAGAAATATAAAAAAATAAAAAATAAAAAACAAGATCTGTGGGCACACTGAATGGACATTTCAGGCTGCATGCAGAATGCAGGATAGGGCCCAGAGTGTTTATACTGAACAATAATAAATTCTCAGTGCTGGGAAACTCAAGCTGAACTGCAGCTGGAAAGGTTTCTCTCTTTCTTTCTTTCTTTTTCCTCCCAACTGATTTGTTTCAGACAGGGCATAGCTGTAATTACCTTCTTCCCATCTACAGCTAATACCTCAGAGCAATAAAAAAATATGGGGGTGTTAAAAATTCAAACACTAATTATGGGCTGTTATATTTACTAAACATAGCAGAGGAATAACAAAAGTTTCAGCTTCTCGTGACCTGCACCGCACTATGCAATTTACCAAGTCCCTCGGCCCTTTGCACTTACTGTTATTACATAACAGTTAATAGTGCTCTAGAATAAAATTCAACTTATACATTTACTACCAAACACATATAGCCCAACTGCTTACAGCTGTCTCCTTCCACAGTACAGGTACATCTTTAAGGGGCTCATTCATTTCTTTGTTGCTGCTATTTTTGCTTTTCAATTAAGTTACATAAATATTACAGCAGCAGGTTTCGAAAAGGAAACGAGCAGTATCTGAATATCCCACTTTAAAAGTCTCATGGTAAATATTGGCTAATCCCATGTTTCATTCCGTTGCTTTCCCTTGAGCTACATTTTCAGGTCTAGCAAAGGAATAAAACAGCATTAGAGGGCTGCATTAGTCCCGACTTCACCGCTGCCACTGTCACCGCCACCACCCCACACAAGCACATAAAACACACGTTTTTTACACCCCCCCCAACACACACGTAGTGCAGCTTGATACCACTTAATAAGAATAGAGGTGTACGGATTTTGGGGGTGTCAAACAGCTGTCACAAACTGTCACCTCCACAAGAGAAACCTTGGCACACAACAAATTAAACTACACTTCTTTTTTCGGCTGTCATTATTCATAGCCAATCAGTTGAAATGCTCCTGGTATTTCATGTGCAAATAAAACCATGAGGGGGAGATCCGTGGATCAGAATAGTGGACCAATACATAAAACAGAGGAAACAACATGCTGTCTCTGTCCTTCTGAAGTGGCTCATCATCACCCCTGCACCAACTTTCACCAAATGAGATCTAGCCTCAGGCTATATATTAAATATGCATATCAAAGCAAATGAAAAAATAAACCTGGAGAGTTAAATTGGACAAATTTGCATGCTTGAACTATTAAAATTTCAGGTATATGCTCACAAAAGATAGCTCATTTTATACTCTTGCATCTATATATGAATATTTTTAAGACTTTTCCTTCTTTAGGAATAAAAGTGGATTTCTTCTTGCTGCAACTCAGTGCAATGTGAATCTAAACGTACATACACAGTAGTTTGATTAAGCTATAAAAGAGTATTAAAGTTTTGTTGGGAAAACAAGCTAATATGCAAAAAAAAAAATCCAATAAGGAGACACATTTCCCAAAACGCATGAATAAAATGTAACTATGTGATACAACTCTTCATTTCCCAGTTGGTGTTCTGGTTGCACAAATTATTGCTTCCTTTCAAAACAAATAGCAGGGGGCTAAAGTAAAAATGTTATAGCTCAAATCTCCAGGAAATAAAAGGCTTTAAATTATAATACCCAATGAAGTGGTAAACCCTAACGGGTGCAAGATAAATGGGTTGTCATATTTACTGGAGTTTGTTTTTTGGGCCACAAAAGCAAGAGGAGATTCTTCTTAGGGAAGATAATAGTTATCAAATTATCAAAATGCTAACCCCCTCCACCCTTGTCCTATCATTGTGTGTGAATTTAAATATTATAATGGCGTACTGCAAATTGGCTTGAGCATTCGCCATCTGCCAGAACCCTAAACAGGCTAGTTTATCTAATCTCCTCAATATAAACATAAGCATGCTCCATTTCTACACTTCCACTTGAAACGCACTCTTGTAAAGAAGCCGCACTGGAGAAACATATACTTTTTTTTTTCTCTCTGAATTTTGGACACAATGAGCTTATCATTTCAGGTTGCCACTCATTTAAATTTCTTTTCTAGTATGGTCCCTTAATACATACATATACAGATTTAGGGTTGGAAAATGCCATAAAACAGATATTTTTAAAATACTGTCATGCCTCATAGAGTTTATTATTTGCAGATGAGATAACTAATAAGCAGAGAAACTTTCAGGGACAGTTACATACTTTTTTAACACAAAATAATACATTTAAAATTTAAAGCATAAAAAAAAACCTTGTCGTACACTGTTTACCAAATACAAATGAGAAAATGAAAGCTCAGGCTTCAGTCCAAAAAATATTTTCAGGCTATAGGACTAACCCATGCCGGGAGGAGGAAGGCATTTAGAAGAATTTATAATTATTTTATTTCCCAGCTGAGCTGCAGTACGGGTCTAATGTAATTATCAAATACACATACAAACAACATGTTTTCAAAGGAAACAAAAGCTGCTAGAAGGCTCATTCTCCCTGGGCTTAAGGCTACTCTTCTTAACACACTGGGAAATAAGGGCAGGCGCCTGTGCAGAAAGCATGGTTAACTTCACACCGGGTGTTAAATTAATATTTCAACCGCTAAAATATTAGACTGTATCATTTAGATTATGAGTTCAATTGAATCTAAAACTGCGTAAACCTCTTTACCCCCCAGGGATGCGTTCCTATAAATAAACTCGAGTTCACACCCACTCTTTTTAACCAGAGCTGTTCGTTCCCTTTCCTGCGGTACCAGCTGCAATCTTTTCCCCCTGACTTCCCGGCTTCCCTGCTCCTACATATCTCCAGTATCACCAGAGCTGCTCCAAAACACTGTTTGCAAAACCCGGAAAATCAAAGGCGCCCGCTCGCCTCAGCACCGTTCAGTCCTACACACATAACACGGACGCACCAACTCGGAAAGTGTTAAAATCAACCGCTAACCTACGGTTACTCAATCATAATTCTCTCCAGCTTTCTGTAATACATTGTTAATAATTGCTTCATCAAGGTTACTGTCTTTTATTATGAAGATGCTTCAGGCGTTTGGCAATAAGTCCATATTCTGACAATAAGTTGCTATAAAGCACAAGCATTGGAAACTCTAACGTGCTAACCCCTTTTTTTAATGCAATGTAGTAATGCCAATAATTCTCATCAAAAAGCAGCAAACTTTCTCCCTAACTTCCTTGTCTCTATTTTCTTACCCTGCTGCATTGATTACGGAGTTGGTAGGGAAGGAGAGAAAGCACCGATCACCACATCAAACAGACAATTTGCTAGCTCTTCGAGATCAGGAAACTTTACCAAGCAGTGCAAACTCGCTGCTTTGCAGATGGAAACAGAAATAACCTTCTGCGTTTTTACAGCTTTACAAATCACTAGGGAAGAGAGTGGAAAAGGTGGGACCCGAACTTGCAAAAGGTGAAAATAACAGCACAATAACAGCAGAACAATGAAACTGGGGACAGGATCTCTAAGCAGGTTAAAGTCTTTAAAAAATGCCATAAAGAAATCAAAAGGACTTACATGGTCGGCTAAATTTGTGGAAGATCCTGAGAGTTCTTCGTGATCTGATTTGGAGCTGCCATCCCTTTCATCAATAACAAGGTCTATTGGCATTTTTCCTTTCAAACAACTAATGTACCGGTGGCAGAAGTTATCGCACAACTCATGAACCTGGAAACAGCAACAAGAATAATAGCAGCAATAATAGCGGAATATCGGGTTGCACCTTTTTTTTTTTTTTTTGGTAGCAAGAGCAACACTCTGATCTCCTCCGCAAGTAACTCTAATTAAGGGGCACAATAGCTGAAGGCGAGGAAACAATAGAGAAATTGTTGCCGCACATATTATTCTCTGGGGACCCGCCGCAGCAACAAGTTAGAGAGAGAGATAGTGGGCTCAGAGCAGAGTGCGGAGGAAAATCCAATGTGATGTTCCCATCAGAACATGGGAAGCGGAGCACGCACAGCCCGGACAGGTACAACTAGTCACTCGGGATGGGAGCCGCTCAAACCGTCCCGAAAATAAATAAATAAAAAGGAAAAAGAGTGTATATATGTGGCCGAGACCAGTAAGATGAAGACACTCGCTGAGGCTTTGGGCAGAGCCGTTCCCATCGCAGGGCACAGCTCCCTCCCCACGCCGGGCAGGGGCCCCCTGCCTCCTCCAAACATCTAGTGCTTGTTTGGGGTTAACTCGCTTGCCAGGGCTGCAGAGAGGCAGCAGTGCTTTCATTTCTCCTTTTGTTGAACATATTATTTCCGAGTCAGGGAAATAGCTCCGAGCAGGGGAATGAGTATGAGGGATGGAAGGGGGTTAATAATTATATATAATATATATATATACGTGTGTGTATATATATATGTAATGACTCGGTTGAAATTACACTGAGGGAGAAATGCCGAGCTGGGCTGAGCCTGGCTGTCGGCTGTCACATGCTCTTATGGCACAGGTTATGGTATCACACTGCGTTTCCCCTCTCTCCTCTGGCCGTGTTTACAAGCTGTCCCAAACAGCCAAAGGGGTAGGAAAGGGAGATAGGGTCCCTTGTCCCCCCCACCTCCTTAGCTCTTACCTTTTCTAATTCCAAAAGGTGAAATCTTAGTACTTGTATTGCTTGGATCATCTGCAAGACAGTTTGGAGCGAGGCGTTACGGGGGGAGAGGGGCTGGGGGCCGCGCCGCGAGGCTGGGGGGGCGCAGGCGGAGGGGGCTGCCCGGTCGCACTCCTTATCCCGGATTTTAGCCCATTGGTCACGCCTGAGCAGTTCTGGTCAACTTTAACCTAAGCATTTGATTTTTATCATATTTATTCCAGGAGGGCTGATTAATGCTTTATTAGTGTGATCTTGGAGAAAGCCCCTCGCCCGCCTCCCTGCTCCCTGCCCGCAGGCCGGCCCCGGTTTCGAAAGGTCCGCAGAGAGGCCAGGCACTCGCTCTCACACCCCAGGCCCTTGGAAGGAAGCGGGGGGATGCCCAGGGTGAAGAGTTTGGCATCTTCTTTGCAAGCGGATTTAGGCACTTTGAATATTGAAACCATCCACATTAGCAAAAGAATTACGTTAGAAATCTCCAGCTCTCGCTTCTTAAGCAGTTATTTCCTCCGCTTTAGCTTCCCGGGGCTTTTCGAGCGCAGCTTTGCAACGCACCAGGACGGGAGCGTTTGCCCCGGAAAGCGGAGCCCTTTGAAGCCTCTGCCGCCGCTTTAGGAGCCTCCCAGCTCTGCCTCTGCCCGGAGCCCGGGCCCGGGACTGCCTGGTGGGGGTGGAAAGGACGGGGCCCCAGCGCTTACCAAATTGTCCAGCTCGGGATTTGACGAAAAAAGTGGCTTTTCGGCGCGGACCTACGAGGCAAAGAGAAAGCAACGTAAATTAGGGCTTCTTTCCCCAACCCTGTAACCGAATCGCCCGAAGGGGGAGAAAAACATGTGACAAAAGTAGCCGGCGTAGGTCGCATCTAAACCCGGCCGGGCGCCGCGGAGCCCCCTGCGATGCGGAAAGGGGCCGCCCCACAGCGGTCGCCGCGCGACTTCGCCCCTGCCCCGCGCCGCGGCCTCTGCCGCCCGCCGAGGCCCCCCCTTCCCCATACCATCCCCATGCCATCCCCATGCCATCCCCAT